CCACTCTACAAGCTTTAATTTTGTGACTTGAACAATTATTTTTAAGATGGCAATATGTAATCCATTAACTAGTGATTTCCTACTGTTCATTTTTTTCTTCTGTAAATCTGTATAACTTGTACCCTTTCACTTTTTTTTTTCTTTTCTCCTTAAATTAAAAAAAAAAAAAAGGTGAGTGCAATGGTATACTTGTAATTGCACCACTGAAGAAGTATGAGGCAGGAAGGCTCCTGCCTGAGTAACTAAGCTAGACCTTGTCTGAAAATTTTAAAAACGGGGGTGGTGGTGGTTGCTGAGGAAAGTAATTTAGTGGTAGAATGCTCCTGGGTTTGAATTTTTAAAAAAATGTTTGAGAGACATTCAGTGTAATGGCTTGTGTAGAGATGACCATCCCCTCACAACCTCATGTGCTCATTGATGGCTGGCTCTAGTGTACATGACTGATTCATGCTGCAATGCTGGGATTAAGGGTTCATGATTACTAAATCAGTTCACTGACTGGTTTGTCATTGCCCTAATCCCAGTAGATTAGATAGAGTATGGGGGGGAGGTGCGTGGAGCTGCTAAGGTCTCTTGCTTGTTTTGCTAACTTCCGTCTACCATGAACTGTTTGTTCTCTGGGCTGTCACCCCACCCTGGAGCCTGCCAATTCTGAACTGAAACCTTTACAAACTGTGAGCTAAATAAAGTTTTCCCCCTTTAACTTTGAGGGTCAAATGCTTTATCTCAGCAACAAGAGAAAAGAATCTAGTGGGGTAGTTGCTGTGTCTGTACCTCACTGTGTGGTTCAAGAGCCTTTGGAACTGGTTTAAGGGAAGAGTTTGTAAAGGTTCCGAGGTGCTTGCTGACAGACTAGCCTTGGAAAGCCTTAGGCTGTACCTGATGGGAGATTGTGGTCAGAGCTCAGAAGACCAGAAAGCTGACAGAAACACTCCTGTTAAAGACCAAGCTCAGGTGGTATCTACTGGGAAGAAGGACTGCACTGGCTGTTGACTTCAGACACTGTGTGTTATGGCTTTGCAGAAAGTTTGTCTGCATTTTGCTCATGTCCAGGGACTTTGCCTGACAATGAGATTAAGGGTAGCAGACTAATTAATCTGGCAGTAAAAATTTCAAGGCAATCTTAACATTGAGGTGGTGACATGGCTACTGTTGGGGGCTTTTAGCCAGATTTATGCTAAGAATAAAGAGCCAAGAGCCCAGTAGAATGATTCAATTGTGAGTTTGGTCAGAAAGGAAGTTCTAATAAAGTTTCCCTGTGCAGCTACTCTGCCCTGAAGCCAGCCAATTATGGACTGAAACCTCTACAAACTATCAGCAAAATAAACCTTCCCTCCTTTAACTTTAGGTGTCAGGTATTTTGTCTCAGTAACAAGAGAAAAAGTATCTAAGACATCCTATAAAAAAAACTGGCCAACAGGCATGGTAGCGCACGCCTGAAATCCCAGCATTCATGAGGCTAAGGCAGGAGGATCACTGAAAGTTCGAGACCAGCTTGAGTTAACACAGTGAGTTCAAGGCTAGCCTGGATCACAAAACATGATCTTGTCTTAAAAAACAACACACAAACAACAACAAACAAACACCTCCAAATAATTGGCAAGTCCTGTTCAAGAGTTTTTAGTTTAGTTGGACACGGTGGCACATATCTATAATCCTAGTACGTGGGAGGGTAAGGCAAGGAGGATCACCATGAATTTGAGGCCATCCTAGACTACACAGATCAAGGCCAGCCTAAACTACACTTGAGATCTGTCTCCGAAAAACAAAAACAATAAAAACAAATGGTTACAGCCATAAACCAAGCACAGGGGTGAATATTTGTAATTCCAGTACTTGGGAGGGTGAGGCAGAAGGATGGCAAGTTTAAATTCCACCTGAGCAATTTAGTCAGACGGTGACTCAAAATAAAAAATGAAAAGGGCTGAGAACACAGCTCAGTAGAAAGAACCTGGGTTTAATTCTCAGTAGTGGGGAAAAATTTTACAGTTATATAAGACAAACAAGAATGAAGAACTATTCTAGATTGAAAGAGACCAAGCTAAAGCAATTTGACTACATCTGATTTGAGATCCTGGATTTGGGACCTGAAGAGGATTGGGATAAATGGCAAACTTTGAACAAAATCTATAGCTTATTAGTATCTTACAATATTAAATTTCTTGGTTAAATAATTTTACTCTAGTTAAATGTTAACATGAGGAAAAATCATGTGAAGTGTTACAGGAAGTGAAATCTTTTTTAAATTTTTTTGTGTGTATGTGGAGACATGGTCTTGTTATGTAGTGCAGGCTGGCCTTAAAGTCAATGTAGTCTGTTTGCCCTCAAATTCATGGCAATCCTGCTTCAGGCTCCTAAGTGGTGGGATTACAGGCATGCACCATCATGCCTGGCTTTTAAATTTTTAAAGTTGTTTTAAAATAAAAAGTTAAAAAGTGACATACATGACATAGATCACGAACTGGCAAATTTTTTTCTGTAAAAGCTCATTTTAGGTTTTGTGGACCACAGTTCTTTTTTAACTACTCAACTCTACTATTACAGCATTAAAGCAGTCAAAGGCAATATATAAATAAATGGCTATGGCTAAAACAAATGTTGACATTCAAAGACATACAAGTGTCATATATTGTGAAATATAGATTTATTCCCCACTTAAAAGTGTGGGTTGGGTATGTGATGCATGCCTGTAATCCTAGGATTTGAGAGGCTGAGACAGGAGAACTGCTGAGTTTGAACCCAGCCTGAACTGTAAAACTGTCTCAAAAACAAATAAACAGCAACAAAAAGTGAAAGCCATTCGTAGTTATAGGTCATGAAGAAACAAGCAGTTGGGCTAGCATTGGCCCATACATTCGGACTCTAAGTCACAATTTATCAACATATGCTTCAATTTAAAAAAGAGGGAGGAAGTTTCACATCAAATAAATTTGGCAACACTAGATTAAACAAGTGAAACAAGGTTTTATCCTAGCTTTCAAGCTTACTTATTTATTGCAGGATCTTTTAGTGCCTTCGTGTGGTCTAAATACAGAAGTTCTAAGAAAGAATGATAGTACTTAGCTTTCCCAGACTTACATAGGAACTTTTGCTTCTCAGAGGCATCTCTTCAAACCAGTGGTCTGAAGAAGACATTTATTAAATTCAGATACTTTTATAAAAGGAAACTCCCAGATTGAGAAGTTTTTAAAACTCCAACAAATGAAAAGCATTTTACTCAGCACTCATACATGTAACATGCAAGTAAGGATTTCACAACTTCTATTAATCTAAAGAGACACAAACAAATAGAAAAGCGCAAGTATGAAGTTTTAGCTTATCTCAACCTTTTTTGGGGGTTAGGATGATCAGCAGCATCTGGTCATAATTTGCAATCTCTGCTGCATAAGATAAAACACTCTTAACCATTCAAACAGGTGGCAGAAAAGTGATCTAGTGATTATAAATGAGGAAATCTGATTAGAAATTTGATTAGAAAATTAAAACTATGCTAGAAGCATCATCTACAGATTACATCTAAGTGAGGATAAACTGACAAATCCATAAGAAGACTGGCTTTATACACTGAACAGAAAGCTAACCTATGGACTATTAAGATTCTCTCACATCTACACACACATTGCTGGAAAAATTAAAGTTTAGAAAGGGTTTCTGTCCCACGGAGAAGGCTGGCACGACCACTTTCAAGGGGCCCTCCATTCTGTGTTCCAAGCAGTCCACTGGCTTCTGTCACACAGTCTTCATACGCATGTACAAATTGTTCTTAGAAAATAAGATACTAACTGATGGGATGGCTCCCTGTTTAACAATTCATACAACAAACATTTCAGACACCTCTATCAGAAGTGGAGTCAATTTTAAGTCCTTGAAAAGACATATTGCGCACAGGAGAACCAGAAGAGATTGCATAAACTCAAGTATGTTGGAATTACATATGGGAAATGTGTGTAGGATTGAGGAGACATGAAAAACATACTCTGCTACTAGTAGTCAGTATTACAAAGATTAATGTAACCACTTAGAATAAAAGACTTTCAAGTAGGGAAGGTCTGTCATCTAATACCTGTACAACTTCTACCACAACCAGGCGATACACCCCATCACTGGTCATCTTTGATGATTCTTCCATTAAATTCCTCTTGTATTAAGTAAAAATCTTGTGTTCCTGTAGAATCCACCTATTAGTCCTAGTTCTGCCTGCCAGCCCCAAAGATTGTGGAAGCTCTCTTTTCTATAAGATTTTTTTAAAGTTATTTTCCTGTCAGTGCTCTTTTCTAGATTAAACATCCCAGTTCTTTCAAAGTTCCAGAAATGGTTCCAACTGCCTCAAAGCGAAGAAAGGAAAGCACTTAAAACCAAGAGTCTTCAAACATCAGTATGTACAAGTCTCCAGAAGTGGACGTTCAACAGACGTTTCCTAGGTTCGAAACTCAGATTCTTAATCAGTTGTTTAAGCTTAATATTGCAGAGCTGGCATTTCAGAGGATCTCAAAGTAGATGGTATGAGATCCGTAGTTTGAGAAACATTGCCCCGTTTTACAAATGAGAAAGCTAGCGTTAGCACAGGAAAGATTTGGCTTAGAATACACAATTGGCTGTCGGCAACGAGGTCTCAACCGCCTCTTTTTTACTCTCGTCCCAAATCAGTTCACTTCGCTCTGTCTCTGTACTCCGGGCAAGTTCATTAAATACACTCCCACACGAAAGAGGCGGTCTCGAACGGGAAAAAGAAAAGGAGTCAAGGTGAGCTCTTGGCTGGAAAGGAAGCCTTTCCTCCCTTTCCCAAGGCTTCAGCTTCCCCCGATCTGTACTCACTTAAAGGAAGACCACACCACCCTGACCTTTCTTTTGGACTGTGAACACTCGGCACCGCCAGGCCTATTCTCTCTGGCCCGCTCGGCTCAGGTGTGGAAGCCCGTGAGTCCGGGAAAGGCGAACAGTCTCCTGCCCCCGCCCCCAAGCCTCTATGACCCCCGCCACCACCTCAGCCTGTCACGTACCTGTCTCCTCTCAGGAACGCTGCAGCAGCTTCAGTTTATTAGTCTCTCGGTCCACCGGCCAGTCCTAGCCTAGTCAGTCTTGGGATTAGACCTTCAACCCCTCCTACGCGGACTCCGGTCACGCGGAGCCGCCCCTCTCGAAGAGACTTCCGGCCACAACCGGAAAAGGTTGGTCCGCGGCTGTTACCCGGCCCTGGTCCGGCAGCTAAGGTTCCGCCCACAGGCCGGAAGCGGCGTTACAAGGGTCCGCTTGGTCGCTTTAAGCAGAGTCTGGGGTCTTTAAGAAAAGGATGGTTCCGGAAGTATTATTAGATAAACTTAAAATGTCTTGTTTCACCAGAGTATAAAGACGATGTTAATAAGAATGATGGGAATGAGTAAAAGGAAACAGGACTTACCTTTAAGATCCCACTGGCCAAATCTGGCAATGTTAGCATAAAAATACATGATCGCAGTAGTGTACAGCTAACTGAATAAAATATAATTCACACAATTTTACTAACATAAATGAAAAAGTGGATAAATGTGAAAAAAGCAGTCTTCCTTTTAGTAAATGGAACATCATGTTCCATAGTGAACATGGAGTTAGAAAAATCATAAATGATAGAACTAAAGAAATATGATGTTTACATTGAATATCTCCCACAAATTACTTACTGATTACAACGGGAAATGACTGTCACAGAGGTGTAACCTAACAACAAATGAATCAAGTGATCAAAAATAACAGGGTCAAAGTCATGACATAGTTAGAGACCACTATACGGACAGAAGACAAACTCCTGGAACCTTAAAAGCATGATTTGTGTCTTCTAATATAGACAGGACTTAAACATGGCTTTTCACTTGGGCTTACAAATGCCCAAGAGTAGAATAAAACTTGATTTTCATTTTGTAAAACCCTGAGTTAAAACCTTTTCAGCTCTGCATATAAGCATGTAAGTCATTTAGGGAGTGTCTATCTAAAGGTTGCGAAAATAAGATTTGTTAGCCCTAAATTTACTAAGCCTATCTCATTACCTTTTTAAGACTGACATCACCAGAAGAAGAGAGTTATAGGGATATTAAATTACTACCAGAATCTTCATTACCTTAAACCTATGGTTGCCTTTAAATCCAGCAGAACTTCTCACGAGACAGAAATTGCTCCTTAAATCATGAAGAACATCTGTGAAACATCACAAGCAGAACTGAGATAATGATCTACTGAACCCCACCCCATAAGACTGGACCCCAGTCCTTTGTTATGGGCCAATCTGAAATTCTTTTTCAGAGTGTGTGTCCTCCAGCAAGTAGTCAAGCTGGGATCCTTTATTTTCTGTTACCTTCATTAAAGCTCTGCATGTAAAGTCACATTGTTGCTTTAGTTTTAATTTTCATTATCACTAAGGCAAGGACCCATGCTAACTGGTGATATCACCAATAATGGATCAGGTAGAGATCATGTGCCTCAGTAAATATATTGGGAAGGGCACAACATCTTTTCTGTGGTTTTTCTATTACAAGTGCAAGGACTTGAGGTTGAGAGTGAGCTAGAGACCCTGGTATCTATCTTGCAGTCTTCCATTCTTCCATGTGGAAAGAAAAAAAAAGGTGCATGACCCAGGTCTCAGGCTCATGAGGAAACATTAGATAAACTCATATTGACAGACACTCTATAAAATAACTATTAGGTCATGAAAAGCTGAGGAACTGTTTGAGCAGAAAGGAGACTGAAAGTACATGACAAAAATGTAAATTAGATCCTGGGTTGAGATGATGTAGCAAAATAGCTGTAAAGGACCATATGGAGACAAGTAACATAGTATGTATATGGATTGTGGGTTAATTATTTATATATTGTATCCAATCATCTACTGATTGGTGGTGGAGCTGCAATTTGTCCCAGGAAATTGTCCTTTATCATCTTCATTGTTTCATTCATTCAACAAACATTTAAGGGCCTACAATTATCTAAGGGATTGGGCCTGAATAGACAGTAACCATATCATAATAGACAAAATAAACTTACACAAGAAAGTCTGTCAGCTATAAACAAGAAGTAACATGGGGGATATTTCCAGTATCACAAATCTGGATTTGAATTCAGGCAGAGAAGAAGATAAAAGCAGCCCCTGACATCCAAGAGGTAGCCTGGCACCCACAGGCAGACCCTGGCATTTTCCTGTTGGATATAAAAGTTTCACGAAACATAAAGATTGAGCATGGTCACTCTATGACCAAAGTATATCAAGGTAATATGAACCCACTTAGAGAGTACATGAACATTGCCCAAATCATAACAATGAAAAAAAGGTTCCCTATCCTGACTCATACTCTCATACTCATACTCATACTCAATCTCTGATTACAGTTTTAGGATCAGTATATTTTTCCCTCCTTCTAGAAAAATTTATCAGCATATCCATTTATAGACAGCATCTAATTCAGATCAAAGCATCCACTTCCTTAACCCTTTCTCTAAATCATCTAACACAAGTATTGATATGCCTCATTGTTCTTTGAGGTTTGCATCCTGCCACAAAAAGTGATCAACCAACCTGTTTAACCACAGGTGCATGCTGATTTATTTTTGTTCAAAAAGTCGTGAGGGAACCAGGCGTGGTGGGGCATGTCTATGATTCCAGTACTCAGGAATCTGAGGAAGAAAGATCTCTTTGACTTTAAGGTCAGCGTAGGCAACATAGTAAGTTCAAGACCAGCCTGAATTGCATAGCAAAACCCTGTCTCAAACACACACACACACACACACACACACACACACACACCAATTTTTTAAAAAGTGAATATACTGAGATTAGGTTCAGCACAGAGTAAATTTGACATTTTTATAAATTTCTGCTTCAGTTAGTACCTCCTTTGAAAAAATCATAGACACTCATCATTATAAAGATATTGATAAAAAGATCTGAAAAGATATCAAAACTGTAAGTTGCAATAAGTAAACATTGAAACTGAGTGTGGTGATACACACCTAATCGCAGAACTCTGGGAGACTGAAACAAGGGGACTGAAAATTCTAGTCCAGCTTGGGCAATTCAGTGACTTAGACACTGTATGGGGGACTTGGCAAGAGGAATGAATGATTAAAAACATGAAGGCGTCTTCAGGGCAAAACCATGCAGGCTCTGAGAGAAGTGAATTGTTAAACTGTGAAAGGACGAGGGACTGTACATAGTGTACGCAGCACTGCACTGTTGGAAAACAAGTTTAGTGAAGCATGTTGTGTCTAGCCATTGTCCTTTCCTTGCCCAAATAAACTGCATGGCCTTGCTACAGTTCTTCGCTCAAGCTGTTTTTCTTCTGCTTTTTTTTTTCTCTCTTGCACTGAGATTCTAAATAAAAGCCAAAGAATTCTTAGCTCAGGGCTGTTCCTTGATTTCCTCATACTGGGGTGTTCATGGCACTGTCCTATTGAGCCTGTCAGTGTTCAAACCAAGTTTCATCTCTGAGTAAACTTTTCATCCTCCACACACCAGGCACACAGTGTGACAACTCTCTCTCTCTGTCTCTCTCTGTCTCTCAAAAAAAAAAAAAAAAAAGACCTGGGAATATAGGTCATTGTAAAGACTCTGGGTTCAATCCCCTGGACTGAATATCTATCTATCTATCTATCTATCTATCTATCTATCTATCTATCTATAATTTTCACTCCAGATTGACGAGGAACTAGAGGACTGGAGATCAGGGCATGGCAAAGGCTGGGAAATTGGACCTGACCTGTTAACCATGGAGACCTGTTAATCATAGAGATGAGTCCTGTACCTGATACCAATCAGGGAATGCTGTCTTCAACTTTTCTGGCACAAGTTCAAGCTGAGCACTTCAATTGATACCAATCTTCTGGTAAAAGATCAAGCAGTTTTTGAGTAGGACATCTTAGATATGTTGCCTGAGCAGGGGATATAAAAGGCAGAGGCCTTTAAGATGGTGTGCTGTGAGCCTTTTCCTCAGCCCAGCCCAACCTTCACTCTGTATGCTGTACTTCTTTTCCTATTTTAACTGACCCACATTTACTCTATAGAGCATTTGGTTTTTTTTTTTCTTTTTTTCTTTTGGTACTGGAGATCAAACTCATGACCTTGCACTTGCCAAGCAGGCACTTATGCTAAGTAGAGCATTTCTTCCACACTTCTTCTTTTGGCCTAAATAAATGTCAAACTTTCCTATTTGTCAATTGTTCTAAGTCAATATTTTACTGTCCTAAATAGGATGGTAAAAACATGGAAAGGACCAACTGGTCATTACAATACGTAACGTAACAAATTTGGCAAGCCAGCCTGGAGGTAACAGATGGAGCTAGAAAGAGGTCAAGCTCTTGGGTACAGTTTTGTTTCTCTCTAAAGTCTATGAACTCAAGCAGAAAAGGACTGGTTTAGTTGTTTTCTTTCCTTCTCTCCCTTAGAAGGGATCCAATCCTCTCCTAATACTCTTAGTATAAGAATATACTCTTTTTGTTTTTTTTTTATCTTTTTGAGACAGGGTCTCATTATGCAGTTCAGGCTGGACCTGTACTCACTTTGTAGCCCAGGCTGGTTTTGGACTCGAAACAACTCTCCTGCCTCAGCCTCCCAAAAGTGCTAGGATTACAGGCATGCACCACTACTCCTGGCAGTGGTTTTCTGGTTGTTGTGAGAGACAGAGATCTAAAGTATGGTTAAAAAAAAAATTAGTGGAAGCTGGGGACCCCTTCTCCCACCAACAGCCCCAAGAGGGGAGCTGACAGGGCATGGAGTGGGAAGCCTATAGTGGTTTAGACCCACTGCGATGTGACCCCTTTAAGGCTTGACTTCTGTGCGAGTGACCCTGAACATGGTCTATGAGCAGCATGAAGGTTCTACCGAGTGCGAGTGCGGGAGTTGTGAGTTGGTTGGACAAGAGGAGAGAGGGTAGGAAACCATGTTCCCACTTTCTTTGAGGAATGCATGTGGTTGGGCCCCAGATGGTAGCCAGAGAACCCTCCACTCTGCCAGTCCTAGAGCCATAGCTGCTGTACACTGGGGAAATTTAATTCCTTGAGCATCTCTTTGTTTAAAACATGCAATCCAAAAACTGCAGCCTATCACTTTCTGCCGCTCTCCATTTTACCATTAGGGGGAGCTGTTGTCTTTCAAATGATTCATTTGTCAGGGAAATTTAACCCTTTTAACCCAGAGGAAGTTTGTTAAAAAT